ACCTCCATCTTGGTCTGAAACCATTATTACCCTTATACATAAGAAAAACTCTGATCCTAGATATGTAGACAATCTTCGTCCAATAGTTCTTTCAAACACTGATATTAAGCTTCTCTCAACCATTCTCGCTACCCGATTTCAAGCACATGCTTCCATTCTTATCCACCCTGACCAAATTGGTTTTATGAAACATCATTCTATTTATGATACTATCCTTGACATTAATTCATTCCTTACTTTAGACTTTCTTCTTCCTAACTCCTTTGCTCTATCTGTAGACTGGTCAAAAGCCTAAGTGAGATATTTGGAGTCTGTACAGACTCCAAATATCCCACTTAGGTCGGACTATAACTATCCCGAAAATGACGAGCGTTTTGTGTTTGCCAAGTCATTCGAGTGACGTGCGTTTTGCGTTTGCCACGTCAAAGATTAAGATGGGATATTTATAGTCTGCTCATCAGGTGGTGTGTAGATTGCATTTGTATCGTCATCCGAGAGCCATCAAGATATGTAAGTGGCTTGACGTGCAATTTCTATTTTTCACGTCATACAGTGAGAAAATAAGAGAAAAGAATCTTAGATCTCAAGACAAAGTACAGAAAATCATGTCAGAAATTTCTGAAAACTCAAGTTCTATTAACAATTATAATATAAATAGCAATGTGGCAACTAATGCCCAGGATGAAGTGGAACCTCTGCCCAGCAATACTAACTTTACGCTTTTATATGAAAAACTTTGTGATGCTATAATTCTTGCTGATCGTAAAACCCAAGAAGCTATCGCGTGTTATTGCCTATTTGGAAAGGTTATTATTCAGAGACGTAATGAAATAGCATCGGAAAGACAAGTTGATCCAGAATCCAATACTGTTAGTAGAATTTTAAATAAAGAAGTGAAAGCACAGTTACCCGCAGACACTTCTGCTAGCCTTTTACGTAAGAGAATCGAAAAAGCAAAGAAGCTTTATAAACTTTTCGATGCAATAGGTATGGATAAAATTTATCGCATTGATTCCTTTTCTGCTGACAGTATATCTAAATTAACAAAAAGGAAATCCAGTATATTATAGATAATGTATCCTTTGATTATAGCATTGATGTGAGTCTGCCTCTGGCTGAGTTACGGGATGAGAAGGAAAACAAAAATTCAGGAACATCTACTTCCTCTATCCCATCGTCTAATATGATAAGTGAGGATAACAAATCTTTACTGGTAAAAGAGATAAGCATATCTACTGGAGCAATTTCAAAGGATAAACAAGAAACTATAAATGATGATAATAACATAAACGAGAAAGCCGAATCTTTACTGGAGGAAGAGATAGGTGAACCCGATGATTCTTTAGATTCTAACTCGGAACTCTCTGATTATGATGGGTTCTGTGGATTTTCTGATGATGATGATGATGAAGGATATTATTACGATTTAAATACCGGTGAAACTTATACAAAATCGGAACATCGTTATTCGATCCGCGCATATTAGCCTTGCTAGCCCGCCAATGATTTTCAGTATATGTTAATCGTGTGACTAGAAATACTTGATCTCTTTATACAATTTCGGACGTAATGCCAGTTCAGGTTAGTCATATTCTATTTCCTGGTAATTAATTATTAATCGTCCGGTCCGAGATAGGCAAATCCGAGATATGTAATTTTCTCTTATAATATAGATGTAATGAAGGTGCGATGAAGATGCGATGTAGACACGATAGATTTTTTTCCCTATATAATGTATGAAAAACAGGTGTACCTTAATTGAGTCGCGTTAAAATTCTTGTGATGTGGACATATATCGGAAAGAATAAAATGGTGTCCACGTGATTATGGAATTCCGGAATCGAGCCATAATGGCGCATTCAGGGGGGGGGGGGGGGAAATTGGAGTAATTTTTTTTAAGATAGCTTATAAAGCATAGAATCGTGAAAATAGGGAGAAACTTGCGTGTGGGGTCTCGAAGTTTGGCACTTTTTTATATGTAGTATTGTAAAGCATGACTCGTCTGTATTATAAAATTATGGGTCGATCACAGATCAATCTGTGCGACACTAGATTTCTCCATTCGTACTATTTCTTCATTACTTTTTTTAATCGCAAAAGCTATGTCTAACCTTCCAATAGTTGAACACGTAAAGGCATGGAGTCGAGAGGACGTTAAAGCATTTTTACAAAACAACAAAACTGAATTAGACCTTGAAGACGGAGATATCGAAATATTATATAATCAGAGGGTTAAGGGTAGCAACTTCTTTGATTTTACTGTAACGGATTTTGAGAGATGGGGAATACCGGGTGGACCGGCTAAAGAAATCGAGAAGCTGGTTAATAAAATTCAAGGAGGTAAGTGAACTTATTCTCGCCCAAACCGTGTCAATAATACCGAATACTTACTTATTCTTGTGCTTTTCTTTCCTGCTTCTTATCGTCAAACCCACAAAAAAACACATTCGCGTTATCATAGATCAATCCGTTGCTGGTAAGTGAGTCGTAATAAAATAGTCAACGCGAGTGAACGCGATCTATCTTGATTTTGTTGCTATTGTCTCATTTGTTACCTGTTGTCATTTCATTCCACATGCATTTGTTTCTATTATACAGAGCCTCCTAACAAACGCATAAGAATTGGTGATGAAAATCTAAAGGCATTTCGGGATGCTTCTGCAGGTGGGTCAAATATTTCCGCTGATCAGAACTTACCAGGAGGTTCAGATATTTCCACTAATCAGGACTTCCTCGAACTACCCAAAGGCGTGCATTTTTTAGGAGACATTAACGAACCTTCAACTTTGTTGATCCGTAGTTGCTACCGACACCTGCTCGATCTTGTTTTGGATAATAATAGTTCGATAAGAAATTTGATTATCACTGGCAATCCGGGAATTGGAAAAACCTACTTTGGCTACTACCTACTTTATAATCTTATACAAAGAAATCGAACGGTTATATACGATTCTCATAGTACGGACTATGTTATTGTCTTTGATCAGGAAAGGGCTTTCTATCTTTATGAAGTGGTGGATCCCGACCAAATAAGAGCATACTTGAAGAATGCGAATAATTGGTATATTGTAGATAGCAAAAAACCAAATAAAGCTTCTGCTAAGACGATCCTCGTATGTTTGCCTAAAAAAGAAATCTTTAAGGAATTTGAGAAGTTTCCCTTATCATCAACACGATACATGACAGTGTGGAGCTATGCAGAGATTTCTAAGTGCAAGGACAAGCTCTATAACCACCTTCAGAACAATTTGGTTAAGACGTTATTTGATAAATGGGGAGGGATCCCTCGATTCGTTCTGGAGAAAGCTACCGATTCTAGTCACCAATGTAAGCTTCAAGAAGCAATCGACACGTGTGATTTTAACATACTTGATTATGTTGGTGCAACTGACGCACAGGATACAAGCCACAAGCTCATCCATATCGTAACAAACCCTTTGATTGTGGATGTTAATATTGATAATATTGAACAAGAACATACTGATGTTGACGGTGGTGATGATGTTGAATATATCGAAGAGGATCCACCCTATTCACAAAAACTTATTAAATTTGCGTCTGATTATGTAGCTGAACGGGTGATTATGCGGCTAGAATCAAGAAATAGGGGAAAACTGCGTAGAGATTTATGTTCGAGCTTGTCAGGAGGCAAGAGTAATTCAGTCTTGGGCAGTTATTTTGAGGAAATAGCTCATCAGTTATTGCGAGGTGGTGGAACGTTTGATATTCGTTCTTTGGAGTCTGGAGGTAGATCAACTACTAAAGCTTTTACAAAGCAAGATAAAATTTATACTTTCTCTGACGTTAATGATGTTACTGATGGATGTTATTATCGACCAGACAACCCAAATTATCCGTCAATTGACTCAATTGTTGCACCAAATGAACTCTATCAGATGACTACTGCTATGAGCCACCCGATTAAAATGATTGGTTTGAAAAATGTTTATGGAAAGTTAGCAAGAAGGTAATATCTCTTATTATTTTGTTGTACCGGCGCAATTGTACAATGCTTATGGAAAGCAAAAATTTGTTCCCGTTCCTACCAAAAATAATGTCCGGAGTGCCCAGAACATGCCATCCTGGATCAGAAATCGAGTTAAACAATATGCTCTGAGGATCGATTTGGGATCTACTCCATTAGATATATTTGATGCTGATTCGTTCGATACTGATTCTCAATTAACTGACACCCCATTATTTGGAAATGTCGCGGGATCATCAACAACTTCTAGATTAGGAAGCGAAAGGGTAAGAGGAAGAGAAAGCGGAGGAGGAAGACGAAGAGGAAGACCACGAAAGAAATAATTTACAAGTCATAGATCGGAATTAAAGTAATCTTTGGTGTTATTGTGGTTTTCGCAGTTGCATATATTATTTTGCTGTCTTATTACTTTTTTCTTTGCAAATTTTTTTTCACGCGGTCACATAATTTTTATTTTCTTAGTAATACCCATTTTATTATATAAACAAAATAAATAAATTTATCACCATATTGTATATACAGTACTACAGTATATTAAATGCTTTTAGAGATATATATTTCATAAATAAGTATTATTATTTATCGAATGTACGTGGGAATGTCGCGACATGCCTGTATGACATAAAAAACTATATTATAATTAGCGCTCGGCCTTTAACTTTTAATTCATTTGGAAAGTAATACTGGCCCTTCTACCAATAAAACAATATTCGAATATAGGTAGTTTTTTCCGGCAATCCTTATTTCGCATATGAGATTCGGGGAAGTGTATTACGAATTTTTACTGATTCCAACTCTTGAACAAATAAGAGAGGGCTTTCTATAACTGGCGATTCATCGTTGTGAGGGCGGATCATGAAACTCAAAGACAGTACCTTTTTTTGGGTATAATGCTTTCTTTATTCGTATGTGTCACCAGAATTTTTATCTATTTTTGGCAAACGTAATATTCGTAAGGAGAATACTTTTGCTAGCAATATTGTCAAGCATATTTTTGTTCTGTAGTAATAATAAGAGGGCAAATGATCAGTAAGTAACATTGTTTATGATACACAAGATGATGATATTCTGATAATTGGGAATGCCAAGTCACACAGCTTGCCAGATTGTGCAGCCCATAATATTTCCATTTATAAAGGAGAGTTCAGCTGAACATCCAATGAAAGAATAGTATTTGAGCTCGTACGACGTGGCAGGTTGTGCGACCTGGCAGGTAAATTCCTGATTATGAAATTCTGTTGGACAACCTCTCTTATAATAGTAAATTCTTCTGTAGATCTTTATTTAATCATGTGAATCCAACTTATTTACTAGTACTAGTACTGTTGTCTCTGATTTATTGAGTGTATGACTTATCAAGTTTTACCTGTGTATATTGAAGACTCTGTGATGAAAACTTTATAAATCCAGAGATACATATGACAAGTATACTACTACTACCAGACATCATGTATAAAAGAAATAACTATATAATAATAATGGATCAGGAAAACCAACTTATCTCAGCAAAACTATACCTCAACAGCCTAAGTTTTCTGTAAAAGGGTTCAAGACACTCACATATAGAAATGAATTTGTGTGGGCACTGGGATTTATAATGCCATTGTTGGTGCTGAAAGAATAACAGAGGTTATTGTTGATTCCACATTCAAAACAAATCAAGAACTGTTTGAACTGTTTGTGACGGACTTTTACAATGGAATACGACACAAGTGCCCAATATTTTTCTCCATTCCGAGTTTTGTATTTTGCACAGAAGAAGCTCAATCCAATCCTGAAAATACAATCCAAACTTGTGTTGAGACACTACAGAAGATTTTTACCAGTCAGTCTTCAACAAGAGATCACCAGTATTTGTCCTCTTATATCTTAGATAAAGATGCAGGAGAGATATCATAATCAGCTGTAAGTGCAGCATGGTCATAGTCATGGATCACAAATATTTAATATTAACTGTGTTATTATTATTGGCATCTAGAAAAGACAAGAAATCAAAAACACAAATGTATACAGAAACTAAGGCATTAGAAGCAAACCATATTTTTAGTTTTATTGATCCATCTTAATCTTGGATTATGAGAGACAATGACAATATAAATAAGTCTTTATCTTTGGTGTCCAGATAAGTCTGAAAGAACTGTTAGATATGGTTAAAAACATGCAAATATGCATCCACTCATTTCACAATGATTGGGACTACTGAGCTCGTTTGCCGACGATGCGTTGAAAAATATACAAAATGGAGTTGATGAGAGATTAATGGTGAATTTCCATTTTTGGAATTCATACAACAATTTTCATCCAGGATCACTTCACCGCAGGCGAGCACTGGTGAAAGGGTGAGCAGAGAGGCGTCACCGGTAACTACCCGTTATTCGATCCAGATCCGCACCCGTCCAGCAGACAGCATTACCATGTGATGTAGTTGAACCATATGGGAAGAAACAAATCAATGTACACAGTGAAAGGTCTCATGGACCACACCATCTCACAACGGCAGGAAGGCCTCTCGTTCTTATGTTATTTTCTTGCAGGGATTGGAAACAAACATATCAGTTCATTGAAAAAGGATATTGCGATGTTTCTAAATCATTCAGGTGCGTCTGATCAAGCGATTGATACCTTATCTAATATGCAGTTAAGTTCTACGTCGAGGGAGAATCGACGTGAGAAAAATGTTATATCTTCTATTCATAGAGATAATGTGACAAGAGATCTTGTAAAGTATCAGACAAATGCCATAATCGTTAATATCGATGATTATCATAATATTCATGGTCTGCGGATTCCAACAACTACGTCAACTAGTACTGTTGCACACATGACTACAGTTCTCGCCATCCCAATACCTACAACGACTGCGATTCCAAAAAATGTCGGAGATAATGTATATGCAGACATACATAACCCACGAATTGTCGACAGTGATATTTTAATTAGTAAAATAGAATGGTTTTCCTTTCTCAACCCTTCAACAATCGGTTTGCAAAAGAACATGTACATTCTGAAAATGATTTACTTGACTTTAACGAAGTCGGTGTCGAGATGAGAAGATTAATGGTGTCGAGCGAAGACTAGATGAGAAGGTCGAAGAAGGACTAGATAAGGTCGAAACAAAAATTTACGAATTAAGAGATCTCATCATGGCACAAAACTTAAGGTAATAATTCAAGGTCAAACTGGTTTATTTCCTTCTTATTTATATTTAGTTGATGTAAAAAAAAAAATCAAAAAAACTTATCCAAGTAAAAAAAATAGGAATGATATTCCATTAATGGGGAATAAAAATGAATTCTATGAAACTGATGGACGAATCATTTAAGACAAACATAAAATTTACCAACAAGACAGTATCCAACGAAGTTAAGATGTAACAAAGAGGAAGCAGCGGTATTAATTAATCGACCGAAGAATCTTCTTTTTAGTGATACGTGTATTTTACCCTCATTATTTGTACTTTGTTGCTTGCATCTAAAGAAATTTCAAAAACTATTATAAAATTTCTAGATATACATTTGCAATGATCTGTCACAATCCTCTTTGTCAACATTATTCTCACTGAGGTTTAATGTTGTTATGTGTCAGTGATGTTACTTATAAGAAATAAATTAGTTTTCCCATCGGTCATATTCTATCCACGCTAGCAGACCGTTTGTAAAATGGTTACTTTTGATTGGTTGGTTTGATACTCCATATGTTATATACTTTTGCGTATACACCTCAATTAGCTTGTCTAAGTCTGTCTGAATTCATTCATACCAAAGTGTAAGATCAAGTCAACATAATTGTCATGGCTGATACCGAAAAATTCTTCCTCGGTTATAATTCTAACTTCTGCCTCTAACCTTTCATCTCCAAGAATGGCGATGAATTTACAAACTAAGAAAAAATGAAAGTTATTTACGTGATAGTTTTATACAGCCTCTACTCTTAGTCTACTGCCTGCGATTTCTTATTTTGCATCAATAGGAAGACAAAGAAATTGAGACAGTCAAAATGGCAGGGTTTTATATAGGGCAATTGCTGGTTTGTACGTTATATTCTGTGAGAAAAAAAGACGTTTGTTGATCACACACACGCACACTCCTGATATAGTAAGCTATTCGTGGGCATATCAGTATCATTCGTCACACTCTAAAACGAGTACAGCCAGGACTGGATATAGTTAGGTCAGATGTTCATCATTATTAGCAGTTATAGTTAATACCAGGAATCTTCTTTTGTCGAAAAAATATAGTTATACAATGTGTTTTCTATCTCGTTCGACATTCGGTTTTATTGAAAAATTGTAATAAAACCGTCTAACGTTTACTGTACGTAATATTAAGCACTTTTTTCGTAAAGAGTGTACTGTTGATATAGTATTTACATCGCTATACCGTGTGGCGTGAGTGAGTGAGTATGTGTGTGTGTGTGAGGGAGAGAGAATTAAACACAACATTCAAACCATCTAACGCTTTCGTCATGGAAACTGCTGTTATTCTCTGTGTCTTTGGACATCAATTAAACAGAATCACAATTCCTCGAGTTGTACGTCATTATTGAAACGAAGAAATTCTACAGTGTCCATTGAATTATTAGTATCGAGTTTATTAATTAAGTGTTGGAACCCTCTTCTTATTAATACACTACCCTCCAAAAAGAATTTGATTTATTACTTAAATTACAATGGCGCGCTGCAGTAGTTTTTGGTTGCTTTTGAAGTGCGAGTTTGCAATCCCCCATCTTCCTATTAACTAACAGCTCGTTTAATTTACAATTTTTCTCATTTAAATTGTAAAAGAACATACTAATTTATGACAACACACGAAGTACACGTAATTAATGACTTGTCGAAACAGAAGTTGGAAAGAGAACAACGTTTATTAAAAGTAAATTAATAAAAAGCTGTAGATAGGGACAAATAACAACATGCACGATTCTAATCGAGTATGTCCTTACATCCACAATTAACTTATATACGACAATTAGACAATATAATTTTTTGTTCTACGATTTCTGTCGTTACAACAAGATGTCGTTATATAACAGTGTCGTCATATCGAGACTTACTTATTATTATACGTGTTTTCCTATTCACAATTATTTTAACTAAATGTTCTTATTAATACAAGTTTGACATTATTATTACACCATCATCTATCGAGCTGTCGATTATACGTAGTACTAGCATAAATAAAAGTAACGTGATCACATAGCGTCAAGAAGTAATGGTTCAATATCAAACAAAACATTTGATCGTTTTCCGTATTTTTTACGAACGTTGAATCTACAAAGCAAAGACTACATTCTGAACGGTTTTATTCATGAACAACTTTATTAACTGTTATCACATTGTCTATTATAGTGATGTTAAACTTAAACCATTATAGCCTTTTATAACGACCGGTTACTTAAAAGAGCTAAGTACAAACAAGCCCAACAACATGTTTATCATTATTATTGTTGTTGACATGGTAATATGGCGTGTAACATACTGTCTGTATCTATTTGTGTAACTGTTGACTGTTTAAAATCTTCCGAGAGCAAAAGACAATAAAGGATTAATGGGCTGTTTATGACGCCTCTCCTGTGGCGTTACTCACTCTTGTTTCTCATATCAAGCATATAAAGACAGTACACAGAGTAAATGTTCTTCCGACGAATCTGGTGTTCATATATTTTATAGAAATCATAAAACTATATTTCATTAATGCAACGATGAATGCTATGTTGATGTGAATACTAATGTATAAATACATTGGAATCGGGAAAATTCGATGACACTAGACACGATATTCGTCATGAGATATAACATCATTATTTCGTAAATGGTATAGACGATCGAGCTTATTGCATTACGTTACGTGTAATAAAACAGTCGTAAGCTATGATATAACCGAAATAAGTAGCGCTTTATGTCGTTTAAGACAATATCGGAAGGACAATACGACTCTTTCCGATTATACTATATCCGCTGATGTAATAAATACTCAATGTCTACCTACCATTGGAGCATAGTGAGACCCACCGTCACTCCGCTGTCTCCTAAATAAAAAGCGACACATCAAAATGTATGGATTAACAACCAGACTATTCGGATAGCTTTGCAACGCCCAAGAAGTATTTATGGCCGAAAGTGAAAGCCAAATTACATGTCCTATTTTTTTGGAGGAGGAAGACGTAAAAATAGTCGACGTTCTGTCTGAAAACACAAAGAGAAACAAAAGAAAGAAAAAAAAGTCCACAGCAACAAATACTGTAATAACACAACAAACCCAAGAGTTCCGAGAAACTATCGCAAGTCCCGTAGACATAAATGATAATGTCATACCCAGTAGGAACGGCGAACCCATACAGAGCAGTGCAGAATCGTCCCTAACAGCCCAAGCATCACTGGGCTATGCAAAATTGTCTCCTGAAGGCAAACCTAGTACAACGCCTGTCACCCACGAACAATACATAGATACTGACTTTTCGAACGTGATCGACTATATAAAACCTCTCTTTAAAGCAATATGTAACCAAACAGAGTGCCTTAGCAAGGCGTGTCCTCAGGTGAGAAGGGCAAGAGACGAACTTATATCTCACGAGGTATTCCCGGATTCTGCTTCCATAGCCCGTACACTCTTGACGCTCGCGAGAACAGTGTCCGTTTGTACAAAGGCAATTGATACACTCATCACCACCAACACCGTGCAAAATAACATATGCGAATTTGGAAATAATAGCAACATGCATACCAAAGCACCAATTGTAACACAGAATCAAGAATCCTCCTCAAATCATAGTGACACTACCAGATGTGGTAAGTTCGATATCGCCTACGAAAAGAACACGGAAGTCCAATCGACTGATGATGCGGTTAGTAGTATTATTATTACATCAACATATTCAACTAGTTCAACCTCCTCTGCTTTAACTACCAATCTTTTCTTGTACCATTAATACCGTTGGTATGTTAATACCATGAATAATCGAATCATCACTGCTGGGAATGCGCTAATTTCATCCTAATTGAGATCATCATATTCACCGCCAATTATGCGTTTTTGCTTTATGTAGATAAACGATGATATTCACGTCAGTCGCGAAACAACAGATGCATGCATTGAATCATGTTCAAGAAATGCGGAAGAAAACAACGTTTACCAATGCAAAGAGCAGTCAAGTTCTACCAAAATAATGGACAACTCTGATGCTTTGGCGTTCAAATCTCAAGATAATATAGCAGCGACCGAAACCGAAACTGAAACTGTAACCGAAACCGTAACCGTAACGGAGGAGCATTATCTGGAGAGCATGTTCGATAACCAACCTACCATCGATGAATGCGCTGATTCGGCTGATGCAGACATGTCTGGATGTGCCCAGGCCGGCAAGCGAGGACTGCCGGCAGGATGCCTGTTCGTTGCAAGGTATACATTGTGAGATCAATTATAACGCGCATACACAGCTCAGTAAATCTTTTACCGACTCGTGTTTGTCGTTACGTTTTCAGATAAGCTTGTTAACGCAAATTAATTCTTTTTTATCAAGTTTGGATGCAACAAAATCTGAAGATCATCTTCAACAGTCTGTATCTAGACATTTCGCGCATTGGGGCAGAGTTCTTCATGTTAAAGTTCTTAGAGACTGGGCGGATCGTCCTTACGCCTTCGTTCAATTTGAGGTATGAGAACTATCTTATTTTATAAATGATGAGTGTCACAACTGATATATTCGCGTGAATAAAAAAACATAGAACATTAACGACGCAGAAGTTGCGTTGAAAGAAGCTCATAACTCATGGATTAACGGTCGACAGATTAGAGTAGAAAAGGCCCGAGTTAACCGAACCCTTTTCGTGGCTAAATTGAACCCCGATCACGTCGAAGAAGAAATTAGAAGCATACTTGAGCAATTTGGTCCCCTCGAGGAGATCAGCATTCCAAAGAACTTCAATACTGGTCGTAACAAGGGCTGTGGGTTCGTCAAGTTCTGCTACAGAGACGATGCAATTGCCGCATTCAACGTAAGGGTTTTCACCACCGAGCATTTGTCGATATTGTGCAACATAGCCTACGTTAACTCCCATTTTACGTTCAGTCTCTTCGTCAGACCACTACTTATTTTCTTGAGTGGGCCGAGAATCTTGATAAGCCTCCGTTTGAAACTAATGAAGAAGACACGCACTCTATATACGTCGGAAATCTAAACGAGAATCTTATAACAAAAGAATTATTGCATGATAGATTTGAACGTTATGGAAAAATTGAAGATATTCATTTGGTCAATCGTGGTAGGGACTATGGCAAACCCGCATATGCCTTCATTCGGTTTAGCGAAGCATCTTCGGCCGAGGCAGCCATAACCCAAGAGGTAAGATATTTTCTACTTGTACACTTTTTAAATATACTTCCGCTAGCGCGCTTACTTATGCGTGAGCTATTTATTATATATGATAATAATACTTGTAGAATGATGTGGAGTACTTGGAGCGTCAGATGAAGGTCCGACGGCGTCTCACACAAGAATATCGCAATTTCCAGTTCGAACTTAACCGTCAACATAACGAAATTCGCCGACGGTCCGCTGGACATCATAAATGCTCTAATTTCCTGGGAAACCGTCAACCAGTTTCTCACATGTACGCAAATACCGCTCAATATAATCAAGGATCTGGTAGCATACCATCGACGACTTTTTATCCGCCTATGCAAATTATTCCGCCTAATTCTAGTGGATTGTCACCCGTTTCGGTGACACCGCCGGGAAGCTTTAGTGAGAGAAGGAACAGTATGGATGGAAAAGAAGAGGAAGGCGTCACCGAAAATGCGCGGGACATAGTTCCACCGCCCCCACCAATGTCTGGTGTAGTACCAATACAAAGACCAGACTTTCACATGTTTCCACCCATGCCGTTTGTACAGACAATAGATGGGCAATTATACTCCGTTGTCCCTTATTATCATGAATCGGCTGGCACCTTTGCCATGTAAGAGTTCGAGTAGTCTTTGTTGGGAATGGATCATGGGAATTTCACAGCGATTATTTCCAACAAACATCTTTAATTAACAATGGGAGACTATACAAAATTTTAATTTACGTCATTGTGAGGTTATTAATTTCTTTACGTCGAATTTGTAAAACAAATAAAAGAAAATGTCTCGATATTTTATGAGACGTGTGCGAAAAGCGCAATGAGCGCAATGATTGACAGGTCATTATATCTGTGTTACAGCCGATATATTTGTGTTAGTCCGAATTATTATCGTTACCTGAAAAAGATGAATCTTGTTACGGTAATGATTGATACTGGAATTCAACAAAACTTTCCGGCGGGTGAGTTTCTTGGTATAAACAGCCAATGAGTCCGTTATAACGGACACGCATGTAATTCCATTATTATTATAGCGCAAGCCATAAAATAATAAGATTATTATAAGTAAAAAAAAAAAATTCTTTTACATTATCACGTAGGTTGGCTCGATAGAGTTATCTTGCGGGAATTTATCAATAGGATCCTACCTGTCTACACATTATTTTGCTCAAACTGATTCTTATTATTACCATTTTGCGTGCGGTGTTGAACTACATATCTGAGGGTTCCTATAATACGGTATTATCAAGTTTGCCGGCGTTAAATGCTTTTGTCGCCATTAAATTCCTTGATCAATCCTAAGGCCCGCATCGCACTTGAAAATTTGGATGCAGATAGATTTTACATGTATAAAAACATTCTATAGCATATACGGTCTTAACACGTGTCCGCGTAAAATTGCTTAGGGCTTTTAAAAAAAATGCTTACATGTATTCACGTGTTGGTAGGAAGAAGATCCAAGTCGAGATCACACTCGTTGAGTAACTGCTGCGGCTTTTCCGAAACAGATGGGTTGACTAATCTAATTTAGCAACAGCTCCTGATTACTAATCCTATCATTTCAGCGTAATGTATCTATATGCACCCCTCTTTAACGCGAGTAACCGAGTCGGATTTCTGTCGGGTATCTGCTAGTTACACCCGTTATTACACGAATTTTGCTTGTGTAATAATTTAAAAATTGGTCATATTGTAAAGCTTTGCATGTTCACACATGGTTTATTGGTTATGTTATAACAGGCAGGCAATTTTCTGACTACACTGTGGTTAGCAATAAAGGTAATATGATATTATATAGTTCATGTATTATTAATGAATAAAATTAGTACGAACGAACAACCAACAAGAGGAACGCATCAATTCCCACCGGATCTCGCGGCTAGCAGAGATATTAACTAGTCGTGATGCTACTTGTGCAGTCCTTAGACTTGTAGAAATAGAGAACAATGTTAGTCACATTATTACAATAACGCTTATATCACAATACGGTAGTACATACAATGTGTCCACGTTCACCACAGCGGTAGCAGGTTTTCACAGTCTTATCAACAGATCCTTGAGAACTGGGACACTCACGAGACTAAGAGAGCAATGAGCACCAATGTGTCAGTTAGATAATAATAACACGTAACAGAGCCCGCAGACAACGAATAATAACACTCACATAATGGCCAAAGCGACCACAGTTATAACACTTGACCCCAGCAGCTTGGCAATCCCTAGCAAAATGATTGAATCCACCACACTTGTAGCAGATTACTCTGTTCGTACCATAACCGCCGCCACGAGACATACGTTTGCCAAATCCAGTGTTAGAACAGTTACGAGCCAAATGGCCCTATTACCAGGACAATGCCAAAAAAAGAAAAAAAAAACTGTCAAAAATTATATCATTGGTTAGCGGTTTACTAGTCAATGCATTACTTACGAATCGACCACAATTGTAGCAGCGGCCCCCGCCACCGCCACCGCCACCATTACCCCCGTTCATGCGAATTGGCGAGGGACAGTCTGCTTGGAGATGTCCAACTAAAAGAATTTCGATACATCAGATTGCGTTTACAGAAACGTGCATGAGACTCAAATCGTTCGACGTAGGCTGTGCCAGGAATCAAACCAAATGCCAACACACTAAACGCAGAAATGCTCACGAGCCATTCCAAAACGTCAATTCGCTCTCAATTCCTCAACACCCCTACGCCACTCATAGATTGACAAGCACTACGTACCACCACCACAGGCGTAGCATTGTTTCGCGTCAGCCGTTCGCGGTTGAGGGCATTGATTAGCCTCATGACCGGGGTTCTTGCAATTATAACAAAGCCTCTCTGGTTGAGGGCAAGAGTCGGCAAAGTGTCCGACTAATGTATCGAAGTATATGAGATCGGGGGAAACCAGAATGAAAACAAAGCATAATACGTATATAAGAGTGCGGACACGAAAATAGGCGTAGGTAACGCCCGTATTTCAGTCTGTTGGGCTTCATAAATCTACGGATGACAGCCAACAGACTTGGTAACAACAGTTCGTCAGATGGTCAATCTAACACTGTTCTATCGAATACTCTCATAATCCGCACACGCAAAACGTTATAAAAATGCCGAAAACATACCGTTACCACACTTAAAGCAACCCTTTTGAGGGAAAGCCATTTTCCTCAGATTGCCAAAACTTTCCCGACGAAATGAATAAGATAAGGATGACGAGGTCGAAAGGGATAAAGGGACTTCTGCACACTACCCCTTCACCACAACTATAAGAACAACCTATCGACAACTAACGACTGCTTCCGCCTAGGAGAGAGAAAGGACGGGAATGAAGATATTCTTTCTGTCCTTATGAAAAAAAGAAGTTTTCAAGACTTACACTTTATATTAGAAGAAAGGGGGAATTTTGGGACAAGTTGAAATTTTTTTTATAATTTCATCGCCCTGCTGATTGGACTTGTGATGGGGTGAATCATAATTTCGGCCAGCGCAATTTAATTTACTGTTACACACATCAAATTTGTTAGAAACACAAGGTTCTCGGAATGAGTATGTTGTGATCTTCACAGTTCCCCGTTATATTTGTAATTGGTGCTATTATGCAACCTTTTGTTCTAATTTTCTCCACATTTTTTGGTCCCTCAAACCGGTTTAAACTATTTTTAGTACATTGCATCCGACACAAACCGAAAATTGTATTAATTTGAGCATTCTTGTATAAGGAAAAATGCGTGCATGTCCAACTCATCCCCCTCTTCAATGCATGAACCAATCCTTTTACATGTGCCCTTGTACGAACCCCCTTGAAAAATTGAATATGAATAAATAAAGTAGTCTTTACTATACATATCGTATCTCATATAGGTTCAATTCCTAAAGTTAGGCCAAAACCCGGCCCTCTGTTAAATATTTGAGCAAGATATTCCTGACGCCGAATCACATTTTACGAATCCACAATTTCCACACGTCTTGATGTATACTTTTCGGTGCATTCAGTGTCCTTGCAACCCCTGAATTCCCTCCGAAACCTGAAATGCGACCAAGTCGGCATCGCACTTTCGCTTGTCCTTCAAAACCACCCTCGAAGATTCGAACTTGGGTAAAAGAATGCTCGTATTTCTTGGATAATTTGAATATTTTATCAAAATCACCGTTACCCCCGCTCAATTAATTGACCGTCGAGATCGTAACCGGTTATAAATGTGCGAACACCTGGATCACCTTCCCCGAACATTATCTTGGTTATCATTATATCCAAAGGAACGGAAATACACAAGTAAAAATGTCCCTGGTGATTCATAGTTATGTTAATCGTATTATTGATCACCCCGAGGCGATAATATTTTTTAGAAACGCGTATTTTCCTTTGTTTCGATTCCAATTCCTCGCAAGGATCGAGATGATTTGTGTTCGATCCGTTTTCGATCGATACTTTATTCGAAAATTATTTCCATGCAACTTCCTGTTTGTTTTGTATGCTCCCATCGATTGTCGAATCGCGTACAAACGTACTTCTCCAGGAGTCTCTTTTACTCAGTTGTGAAGCACTTATCATTTAGGTAGTGCCTTCGTATGACGCTCATGTCGGTGATTCGGTCCTGCACCATCTCGAGAACGTCCATTTCACAGTTTCCATCCACTTTCCTAACTTTTTCCTTTCTTCGGGCGCTGGGTAAAGCCATATCTTTCGTGTTTTTTAATATCTCTTTTTGTTTCGATTTTCAGCTAATCTAAGTCTGTTATGCCTTGCTGTGAAGATAGTAACGATTGATAATAAGTTTTCGGCAAACTTATCAGATTCGGTGTCATTGACGTTGATGTCCCGAGCCCAGTACAATGATCATAGCACTGTTCTTACCAAGAACCCATTCGACAAGCTCGTACCCAAATCTGCAGAGCCGCTCCTTCCTGGTAATCACAACCTTCTCGATATCTCCCCAGTACAATCGTTCCAGAATGGATGCAAAGCCCTTGCATTTCCGATCGAGACCTGACCCAATGTCCCTAGTGAGTTCGTGGTCTGGGCATTTCTGTCGCATTGCCTGTCGAAATCCTTCCTGGGCTGACGTCGCGTAATAGATCTTTTGCTTTTCATTAAACAACTTCTGATCTCTTGTGACAAACATACGAAAACGAGACTTATTTATACTTTACAAAAATATTGAATCATTGAAAATGATGTAATAATGATAATTCAAATTAATATAAAACATTTACTATTGTTAATCGATAAGATAAATAATAAAGCAATATACATAGTCGACCTCGTTAATTCGAAGAAAATTTCTGGACCAATTCATTAATAATAATAAAATTACCTCGATAATCTGATATTTACAATAAAATCACTGTAATCCGTAATCCGAATCTAGGTGGGAGAGACGGCATATTAATTGTTTACCTTTTAATCCGAGGACTTTCCTTTAATTCGAAAGATATTCTTGCTAATTCGAAGTATTTTTTGTTAATCGGAAGATTAAAGACATTAGTAGAACTTGCAATTCGATCTTATTTCCCAATAATAAACCACAAAATCGAAAAACCTTATTGTGCGTACAAAGAACCAAGGATTGCTGACTGTGTAATATCAAGAGAAAAATCGAACATTAACAATCAAATGCTAGCAGCTCAATTTGATATTAGTGAATCGACACTGTACATGACATCTTAAAACGTAAAAGCCGAATATCTTAGTAAAGATCCAAATTACGGAATAAAGTTTAGCACGCGTACAAAATTTGATATTATTAACAACAGCATTTATTCCTATTCTTTTGTATTACGGATAATTTTTTTGTATTAAACATGCAGTCAACTTTCTCTATAACGATCGCCTGTGCTCTGCCCACTGTCAAAAACGTCATATAATATATTATATGCATATAATGGTCGTTATAAAGAAAGTTGACGTAGGTAGGGTATTATAATCGCAGTCTTTCCCAATTAAATACTTCCCACGCTTTTTTATTAATCGCCAAGATGTTACGTCAACGCATCGATATACTCTGCTACTTGTCTTATTAGTCACGAAGACTTAAATGTAAGTGTCAATCAATAACAACCAAATTCTTTTCATACCCGCTTATTAGTTGTCATACTTTTATAACTTAACAATTATTCTACTACAGTCTTATTAATTACCAGAGTTTTCTTACACCAAAGTATCAGTCTTGAAATAAAGAACTAAGGTAATAATAATAACATAATACAAAAATCACAATAAGAATAACGGATATAAATATTGCATTAAAACTACAGTTACTTTATTTGATCATTAGGAAAATTTATTTCAGTCTTAATAATAATACAAAAATTATTATTAAGATCGGTCTCTATCTCAGTATTTCAGAAATCACCTGATATCAGATCGCTTCCTCTTCTTTAAGCTCTTTCGCTCCCAGCTCTAGACTACACTCTAAACCCTCTATTTTATTAAAAGACTAATATAAATTTTACTAATTATAATATAAGAGCAGCCAAGTATAACTGGCAAGTAGCAGGCTCTACGTAACGTAATAATAAAGTTGTACAAATCAAATTAAAATTATAATAAAATTACTACTTTCACCCTCGAGCAATTTCTGCAGCTGTCTCTTCAGTAATAAACTGCTTATTTTCTTAACCGTGCTATCGAGAAAAGCGTTTGCATTATTCGATTGCCTAGATTTTTAAAAAAAGAGAGGGGGGGGTAAGAACGAATTCCTAGCAAGGGAGTGAGTGAACGAATCATGTTTTAAGAACATCGAGGCTACCCAAAGAACTATACTTTAATAGATATGACACACAACGCCCAACCGGAACATGCCAAACTATCCATAACAACGAGAGGGAGTTTGTACGATGTCAAGGGACATGCAGGTCCCAAAGAAATATGCCAAACGTCTATTAATGGGAGTGAGTTTGTGCGAAATCTGGTTCAACGGGCATGCGCAGCAATCTAAAAACTATACTTCAATTGAATAAACACCCCGGCCCCACCCAAACGAAACATGTCAAACCATCCACATGCCTTGTTTTCTTCATGATGTGGTTATCGCGGTCCGGCCGTATGTGAGTGGGAAGCGTGTATTTGTTTTTGCGCTTTGGTGGAAGAGCGGTCGTCGGGACAGCAGTTATATATGAGTAGAAGTCTTTCATTAGCGAGCGTCGTTAACTGTGTTGTCGTTGATGGGTTTAAGAGTTTGTCGTTCCGAGAATTTGTTTTGTACCGTGTGTGCGTATATATATTGTGCCGCTGGATAATTGTTGTTGGGGTATATTATTAAACTTTGCATTTGCGCTTTGATGAGGGAGGAGAGAGGGGGTGGGGTATATATATGTTAACAGACACGTGTTTGCGTATTTACGTGTTAGATGACAGACAAATGATGACGTATACATCTTTATAAGTATAAATGGTGTTCTTTATGCAGCGAGTGGTGTGGAGTAGGTGCAGTAAAAAGTTTTTTACTCCCACGGGCGGTCTCATATTATCAATCGCGTCGTATACATTCTTATAAGTATAAATTGTGTGATTTACGCAGCAAGTGTTGTGGAAAGCATGAACAGGTAACCGATATTATGCTGTAAAAAGTTTTTCACTCCACGGGCAATCTCATGTCATTAATCACGTTGTGTACATCTTTATAAGTATAACTGTTGTTATCTACGCAGCAAGTGGTGTGAAAAGCATGAACGGGTAACCATATCAGTGGGCGGTCAGGAGGTAGCGGTAGTGACCAGTAAAAAAATTTTTTATTAATAAGCCACGCGGATAATTTTAATTAAACTGATCTCTGTGATAGCTTAACGTCGTAATTTTCACGGGGCAGTCAGAACGTAGCGATCAGTGGTTTATCGATAAGCCACGCGTACTATTTTTATCTCTGTGATGTCGTAATTCTCACGGGCGGTCAAGGAGGTGACTAGTGGGATTATTTACCACCGATAAGCCACGTATATGATGGAGTTTTGTAGAAATTTCTCGAACGTTTTACCTGAAAGCACATGTCTTCTATATCAAGTTTCTGATTTTTTGAAGATAACTTACTGATTAATTCCAAAATTGACGTAATTTACTTAAAATATGCGAGAGCGCGTTTTCGGAACATGTTATTACGTTAAAAGGGCCTTATACAGTTTCTAAGGTATAGATGAAATCGATAATTTGAGTGGCTTGTTGAATTTTTCATCATGACCTTGATGTCTATCTGAAAGTTAAAACACGAAGCTAACAATATTTTTTTTGAATTAGTTTGTCAATTTCAGACCTTAATCGTAGCCTTTGTTCTTCATCAGTGATTTCGATCAATCGGTCGTCTAGCAGACAAATCGGTGCAAATGTTCGTCTAGCTGTAAGCGTCAATTAAAGAAACTCTAGTATAAAAGTCAATTTGCTTTTAAAATGTGGAGTTCGTTTGATCCGGCATAGATAATTGAACTCCAAAGTCAGAAAAGCTATTTTACAAGCTTGCAACCCATCAGTAAGTTTTTCTTTCTTCATTTAATTTGCCCAATCTAAAAAGTCTTGAGTCATCCAATTTAGTTTGTTGCACGTTTGTGCAATAATCTGATCGTATTGTCTTCCGCATATAGAGTGATTATCTAACAATTTAGGAAAATACTGATCTCTTAGTCATGTATGGTGTTAATAGACTATTCTTGGGAAGGAAATCAAATGTACCAAGGTAGATCTTTCTTGTCCAATCATTGTAAGTAAAAATCTGGTTTTCTAAATAAGAATTAGAGTTCGGTTTTTAATGTTAATATTGATGTATTACTGAGAACATGAAATGTATTACACCTGGTTCTCATCTGACTGGGTCGTAACAATATTCGTTCTCGTAATTGCTGGGGTTGGATAGAAAACATATTTTATCAAGTTTTTTGTTTCAGTTTTTTATAGTTAAAGTTTGACCGTGACAGAGTGAGATTCAGCATAACATTAATTTTGCCTTACGTCTTTCAAATTGAATTTTAGAGACGAATACGAGCTACTTATAATTTGCTATCATATGCAATTTTCTTAGGAATTGCAACTCCTTTTGATTCGCTTCTGCTAATGCTGTATAAGCATGTTTTTGTTAATATTGTTAGAAACACTACTACTACACATTGTGACAAAAATTTCATTTTGCCGAATCAACCATCAAAAAATTTTGATGTTTCAATTATTATTGTTGATGTTATTCTGTACATTCATATGTAAGTCTAAAACTCTCTGATTTAAAGAATTAATCCAGTCTTTTAATTCTAAATTAGGCGTTCTTTGCCCTCCTTATATTTCCCACTTGTAACCTGTTTATTGCATAAGAACCCAAAGGCAAATTTTTCTGACATAATCGGGTTTTATCTCTCAGAAAATGTGCAATAAATTTTCGTTCTCTATATCTCCTCCACATTCAGGTCAACCAGCATGCTTGCAATTAACGTCCCGCTATCTCATAATCGCGAATAGCTTTCTCAGGCATTTTCATTGATGGTACTAATTCACATTATTGATGCTTTCGAAAGCGTATTAACTTTCTATTAACTTAAACGTCTGAGAAATAATAAAATTTGTCTCTTATTGATCATTAGAAACGATTTGCCATTTTTATTCATTCTTGGAGTAGGAGTTAGCTATTTCCATTTTATTGGAAATAATTTTCAGAGATAAACTGGTTCTTCGATTCGTTTTTTGAGCCTGAAAACGTTTGTTATCAAAAATTTTCGACCTTAAAGTTTTATGGTATGGTCATAATTCCGTCTTTACGCGTTTCTATCCGCACCAAGAAATGGACAAGAACAAGCGTCGACTCTCAGTGACTCAATATGTTCGTCAGCATCTCGCTCATAGCACATTGAAGGCAAAGAACTTTTATGTGTATTTCAATTATTCTTTGTCAGAAGGCGTAGAATACTCCAGAAAACACTGGAGGCGCTAAGTAACGATTCTCAACTTGCAAGAAGATGCCTGAAACGAGTTGATTTCTTTCATAATGATAGAGTAAAACTTTATTTTGAGCAAAAAGGAGTAAGACTGGAGAGCAGATAGGCGTAGAGGTAACATTAAGTATGGCAAACAAAAGGCTGGGTATTGCAAACGAAATTGCCCACCAAAAGTCTATCGATTATCTAAAGAAAGTGGCGGAGAATGAAATTCTGTCAGATGAAAAAGTGGACAATGTACAATCTGAGGTTGAGGACGAAACCTCAAGATAGATGCTCATTAAATATTCTTTCTGTTATTGCAGCAATAAAAGGTTGCCATGCTATCTTGATAAACTTCCTATTAAGGTTAGTTGATTTGCATTCGAGTTCATAATGAAGCAACGAATTATTTACTTAGAATTCCAACACAGATGTGCTGGCTTGCATCAAGTCATAATTGGGTTAATTTTCGCTGGTTATTGTGATTGACACATGAGTGACAATTTTCGCGTTTGCTAATGTTACTTATTTTTTAAAGACACCAAAGAATGGAAACGCTTATCAGTACCTGACTGGTGGCTTTGTTGGCAACAGAGATGAACATTCACAATCAGTAAATTATTATATCAAAGTGTCTTAATGTATTAGTATCCTATAAATATATCAGATTGGTTTGTTTTACATTGTTGTCTCATTGAACGTGTTGACACTATAAAATTAATTAATAATTCCGTCAAAATCCACTTATTCCTTTTCACTAGGCTTTGGATCAAAGTAGCTGTGGCAAGAAACTCGTTGTTGTAAACACAATAGTATCCGTCGTCTTGTAACAGAAATGGAAGTTCTTTTTTCATTGGGTTGGAAGGACTCACTTTTGTCCAACGTTCATTTTTTCCGTGTTAAAAGAAATTCTATTCAATAAAAATTCATACGAGTGTGAGTTACTCTTTAGTAGAAGTATATAAAGCCCGCTTCAAGAATTGGCTCGCTTCATATTAGTTGATGCGAGGAAACTGTTAAGTTTGAAAAAAAGGTCTCGTGATAGTATCTTCCAAGGCAAGATGTTAGAAGGAGCACAAACTCAGAACAGTATTCGATTATATCAGCAAATGCCATAATGTGCTCTTTACGGTCTTGATGAAATATGACTTTGAATATAGTAGTATTTATTGTAAGTTTCTGGTTTTGAGGAAGACTTCGGTTCCGTGATATCTAATTAGTAGGTATTAATTAAAGCAAGAAAGGATTCCGGTTGTCGGTAATGAAACGCAACTAGACTAATATTAGACGTTAATACCCAGTAAAGTATTCTACAACTAGAAAATTTATCAATCTCAATCAGAAGAGGAGGCGTGACAGGAATACGATGTCATAGTGTTGAGTTACATAAAATGATAACATGCTATCGTCGCAACAATACACTATTTAGTATATTCCATGTATAATGAATCGCTTAAACAGACCCGTTCGTCTGTCCGATGATAAAGTTCGATCGATGGCCTGACCAAACGCATTGTGGAACCAGTCCAATGGGCAATCTGTTTGAATGACAATTTCCGTTACGTTTACCCTTTCAAGTTCAAAAGGACCGAACCCCCTGAATTTTCTTTGTGGCGTTCGCTTTTCGTCATACGTTTGCAAGAGTGGCGTTGCATGAAAGAGTGTGACAGAGATATTTGTATGACATCAACGGAGGAATGATGCAATCATAATTGCGCGAGCCTCAAGTTCTTTTGGTGCACAGGCTCCAAACTTTACCAGATTCGCCCTTTCACCCGAGTTTACTCCGCTGACCCATCCATCTGTTTTAATAGTAGACAAAGGAGCGCATTCGTTTGACGTTCTTACTCTTAAATAATTTAACGATATAAACCACTTTTTTTTGCATTTTTATATACCGCACTTTCATACACTTCCCCAATTCATATATACAAATAAAGTTTACCATAGAACATATCATAATGGCTCAAGCTCAATCGCGTGAAGACTCTGTCTACCTCGCCAAGCTTGCCGAACAGGCTGAGCGTTATGAAGGTAAAAGGGATGAACCATATTAGACATATAGCACCCGTTATAATACTATTCGCGTATGACCAGCGTTAGTTACATGGCAAAGATGACATAACTCTGTAATATGCCTTTTTTTCTTGAAATCATCCTTATCTTCAATGTTCTTAAATGGCCTGGGAGAAGAGAATAAAGCCCTAGTATAGACGGTGATTAAATTGCGATCTTTTGCAGAGTCTAATGATTGCTATGAAATCATCGCCGAATAACAGATGATTAAGATAGAGATAATCAATAACCGATAGAACGATAGTCCGTGCTAAAACGTATTATCTGTAAACATTTATCGTTTTACCTTATTTACTAATGATGATTATCTTTTTTGTTCCTTGCCATAAATAGAAATGGTCGAGTATATGAAACAAGTTGCTTCATCAGACCAAGAACTCACTGTCGAAGAGCGCAACCTTCTCTCCGTTGCTTACAAGAATGTCATTGGTGCCCGACGTGCTTCATGGCGTATCGTGTCTTCAATTGAGCAGAAAGAGGAAACGAAGGGCAACACGATGCAAGTTGGCTTTATCAAGGAGTATAGAGCAAAGATTGAGAACGAATTGTCGAAGATATGTGAAGACATTCTTCAAGTCCTTGACAAGCATCTTATTCCGTCTGCTGCTACCGGCGAATCCAAAGTGTTCTACCACAAGATGTTAGTTTTATTCAGATTAATACGTCATCAATTGTGTTTAATGTCTATATTACTTACTGTTGATTATATATATTGCAGGAAGGGCGACTATCATAGATATCTTGCTGAATTCGCGACGGGTGACAAGCGTGGTGAATCTGCTGACAAGTCTCTGGAAGCTTACAAGGCAGCCAGCGAAATTGCGGTGACCGAGCTTGCGCCCACCCATCCTATTCGTCTTGGTCTCGCTCTCAACTTTTCTGTATTCTACTACGAAATTCACAACTCGCCCGATAATGCCTGCCATCTTGCTAAACAAGCGTTTGACGATGCGATTGCCGAACTAGATACGCTCAGCGAAGAAAGCTATAAAGATTCAACATTAATTATGCAGTTGTTGAGAGATAATTTGACATTGTGGACATCTGACATTCAAGACAGCAGTACGTATATGCTACGATAACTCATTCTTGTGTATTTGACAATGATATGCATTAATTTTTAACCGCTTAATTGTGCGTGTGCTAATCATGTTTGTTTCTCTCTCCCCTCTCCTTCACCCACACTTTAGACGAGAAAGCTGATGCCCCTAGAGAGGAAGAGCCGAGCGAGGTGACGGATCAACAGTCTTAATCATCACATATATCCGATCAATACAGAAGCATTAGACAGTCATTATTTTCTCATCATTTCTTTTATATGTTATTTTATATTCACATTTTATATAAATTTAAGAGAACTCATGCATGCAGTGCAGTCATTACTTATAAAGTTGGATAGGTGGTTTGGGACAACTACTCGCTCAATGATAAGGGTCAGCAGTATTCAGTCATTTAACTTTGTGCTTCCATCAGCATGACACAGTAGGACATGAGTGGCATCCTGTTTTTATATTAAATCGGCCTTGTAATAAATGATGAAATGACATGAATCAAAGCCCTGTCGTGTATTTATTATCAATGTGATACTAATATTATTGCCGTGACGTTGTAATTACAATAATACACTACTAATATACGTAAATCATTCAGACTACTAATGTCAATGTCAGTACTGATCTATTATTAGCGAGAATTAAGCCACTTTTTTTTATTGCTTCCATATCATTATTTTTTTTACATCAATTTTTATGCCCGCTTTTTGTTATTAACCTTATCCTTACTTTTTAATACTATGCGGGATGATTTGTGTCATTCACTTTCTAGACTTTGATGTCTTCTTCGTCGTCTTTTTCTTCGTACTGGAAGCTTTATACGCAGGGATAAGCTCCCTAAATACAGCTACAAGATCATTATTTACTTCTAATTTAGGCTCGCAGTATGCATTGTCATCATTTTTCTCACTCAAGCTCTCCCTACATGTTGGGCACTTTGAATCGTATGAAACAATTGCTTTAATTAAACACTCCTTGCACGCATTGTGCGAACATAGAGTGGTGACAGGATTTTGGACCAGATCCTGACACACATTACACTTAAATTCCTCCATTATTTGCGCGAGAAATTCGGCTTCATTTGTAACATCGATCCGCAACAAACTCTTCCAAGCTCTCGCGTTACGGCTATCCTTCTCAATCAATGCTAATATCTTATCAGATGGAGTATATGTACGTATTAACGCCTTCTTTCTCGGAGACAGCTCGTTATCACTCGACTCATCAGCATCCGTTTTCCTTTTATCTCCGGCTCCCCCCGAAACACATGTCTGTAGTCCAAGCTGTTCTATATATCGCTGACCTTCTTCGGTCCATGGAGCGGGCTCGTCGTCGTCCCTACGCAACAGAAATCTCCAAACTCTATATCCAGCAACTCCTTTCTCGGGCCAATATTTCACTACCTTATACAATCCATCGTATCTGTGCCCTGCCTTTGGAGCATACTTGGGATTATGTTTTGCTAACTTGTAGCTTCGGACTACTCTAATTGGCTTACTTTTCCTCCAATTCTTTGCGACCGCACCAACTTTATCGTTTACAGGTATATCGCATGTTTGAGCTAAATATAAATTAGCGCGGGTGAGCGTCTGATCACTGTCCTGCTTAGCTGTTCGTTTATTCCCCGTCTTCAGGTCACGCCCACCAGAGCCGGTGTATGTGAATTCATCTCCATTATCAACATCCTCAGGATATCCTCCCGCTAATACGACTGATACTGCCCCAACATCAGAGTTGCCATGAATTCCTCCAACGGGAGGACGATGTACGCCAGATTCGGAACAATGTATTCGATATAGCCAAGTACAACCAACAGGCACACCAGGAATCTTTCCGCGATGATTTTTGTCTACAATCTCGCATTTCTTTGACACTCCAGCACATGCCATCCCCCCACCCCATTGTTTAGTTTGCGTAGCTGATGGCATCTTTGATTTTTTCGTACTGGAAATATTAATGCCTTTACCAGGGGTGATAATGTCATCATTATTATGACAACAATAAGGGCAATACCAGTCACCTTCAGGCACGCTTTCCAGTGGTGGTTTCAAACAATATAGATGGAAATAATACTGGCACTCATCGCAGACAATTGTCTTTGGTTCATCGTCCTTTCCGCCACATTCAAAGCATCCGCATTCCTTACATTTCTTGGAGGCAACATTTTTGCAAGTTGTGCAGTAATAATCCTCTGCAGTAGTTTCCGTTGTTTTGTTGGCATCAGAAGTACTGGCAGTCTTGGCACTAGCTGCTTCAACACACTTGAGACTTGTCTTTCCCTGGACGTCACAAGTTGAATTTTGAAAATTTATGCTTGATTCCTGATTCTCCTTGTCATTGTTGACATTATCGGCATCAGTACTGTTATCCGTGCTCGCGTTAGGAGTGCTGGTAGTGTCATTATCAATTACTACTCTCACATCCAGGTCTCTAAGCGATTCAAGATCGACAAAGGGTTTCTGAAACAACAGTATCGTGCTCTCGTGTTTAACATTGTAGTCGAATAACGTGTATCCATTTTCCAATTGCTTGCCCAGGTATATAAGACGTTGCCTTTCGGGCGGAAATACGTGCTCGCCAAATAACTTGGCTACTGTGGGTCGAAGATCTTCGACACGTTTCGTTAATCCGAATTCTATTCTCTCCTTCCGATCTTGGGTTTTCACATACAAGTGAACCATAGTTACGTTTATTAAGAAGATGGCAAATTTTATAGATTCGTAAGGTCAATTGTCCTGAGTTCGAATTCAGTCGGTTAACGGGAAAAGGGTAGACGGTGTAGCCACCACAATTATATATGGAAGTTGTTGTTTTTTTGGTAGACCAAGACGCGAGCCACCGAACGTGCTGCATAATCACATGATAATATCGGAGTTGCCATGTCACGCGTTTCATAGAATCTGAGAAGACTTTGGTTAATGTTTTGTGGGTCATGGAAGCGTTCGGAAATAGAGTCTCTTAACGTAAGGGACGTACAAGGTTGGTGCATGCACACTAAATATTCGCTGTGGAAACGAAGCAGATCTAACAAAACAGCCTGTCGCGCGTTTTATAATCATACGCGAAGAATGCTCGTGATTGGATATGCGTCATTTTGAAGATCGTTACCTAGGGCGGCAAATTAGCACGCAAATTTGACAATTCTTGGTAAGTTACTTCCGCTCGCAAAGTTTCTTCTCTCTCCAAGCAATGGGAAGCCCTATAATTCAATCACGCAGGCCAGAGTTTGTTCATAAAGCCTGTCCAAAATGTCACAGTGAACTAGAATTTCCTTCTGCGACGCTTCCTTCTTCAAAAATCTTTGTTCAGTGTTACTCATGTCAGAAAATTTGCGAATTTGAAGTTAAAGGTGGGGGAATTCCGTCGTCCATACCAATGTCGAACAACAACAAACGGAGATTTGGCTCAGGTACGAACGTTGTTTATTGTATAGATGTACCCTGTTTATGCTACCGATTTGGAATATTGTTTATATGCTTATAAAGTTCATATACTTTCTTCCAATCTGTTTCTGCCTCTTGTCTCTAATTTACACAGATCGGGAACCTCTAGAAACAGAATATTATGATTTGTTGGAAGTTTCAGTGACAGCAGATATTAGCGAAATTAAGAGACAATATTACAAGCTTGCCTTAAAATACCATCCTGATAAGAACAATTCTCCGGATGCCGAACAGCGGGTATGTATTTGTTTATGCGCCTGCTTTACATAGGCGCTTTTATGGGAAGAGATTCACGCGTCCCTGTTCAGAGAGTTGAATAGAATTTTTCTTCAGTTTAAAAAAATCTCAGAAGCTTACCAAGTGCTTTCAGACCCCGAATTAAGGAGGAAATATAACGAATATGGAGCAAAAAGTAACGAGATACAACCTGAAGGCGGTTTTGGTACGTCTCATTTGGTAGTTGTTGCTGTTCGATCTGTCTCGACAACGAAAGTAAATCAATCGATCAAGTATGTTATCACTGGATTAATGAACTGTATTTTTCGCCTTGTTTAGTCAATCCCGAAGAATTCTTTAAGCAGCAATTCGGAGGTGATCGATTTGTGGATATAATCGGTGAAATATCTATTGGGCGAGATATGAAGGAGGTTTTACAAAATGCTTCTATGGATGAAACAAGTAATGCCAACTCGACTGACGTAGATGGCCGTCGTCGTGAGAACAATAAAAATATGCAAGACGAAGAGCGTGAGAAGATTAGACAAGAGCGTGTTGACAAGCTAGTAAGCAAACTTATAGAAAGACTAGATTACTACGTAAAGCCAAACAATCCTCAGAACGCAGCTCACGAGTTTAGACGTCGGATGGAGAAGGAAGCCGATGAATTGAAGACGGAATCATACGGCGTTGAATTGCTACATGCTATTGGATTCACATACTCTCTGAAAGCCAAACAACACCTCGGCGGCGATCATATATTTGGTCTACCAAGATTTGGACATATAATAAGAGAAAAAGGCCACGTGTTCTCCGAAACCATCTCAACGTTGAAATCAGCAATTGATCTTCAGCAGTCTTTCACGCAGTTGCAAGAGGCTGAGAAGAAGGGCGTGAATGATGCCGAAAAGTCAAGATTAGAGGAAGCAGCCGCCAATAAAGTAAGAACCGCAGTTTTGTTACATTTAGTTTCTGCTTGTATGTTAACTTGGCTTCCTTTTTCAAGGGATTGGAAACTTTATGGAAAGGTTCGAAACTTGAAGTTGAGAGTGTACTCAGGGAAGTATGTGACCGTGTATTGTCCGATCCTACTGTCCCAAAAAGTATACAACGTAAACGAGCAGAGGCATTGAAGATTGTAGGATCTGTTTATGAACATGTGCGCGCTGAAGATAACTAAGAGCGTATATATTCTGATGTCTATTCTGTGAACCGTCCTCTCGAGCCTTTTTTTTTTTTATTTTTATAAAACTTTCTCTTTCCCCCTATTCTTGTAAGTTATTGGTCTATAAAAGTAAATCAAATACAATGTGCACATACATGTAAATATGTTTCGAGTTTTATGCTTTTGGAGTCAACGCCTAATGGGATTTGATCAGGGGGGCTGGACTTTGAATTCCTACAAGTCATCAGATGTGCGATCTTGTATGGTGTTATCGATGCCCACATTTAGGACACCGCAAGCATTCTTTGAGAACAGGATCGCTATCCAAATGTTTTAGAAACGAGTTCTCTCCATCCTGAGCTATTAACATACCGTTATTCTTACATCTTTGCAGTATCAGGTTATTTACTATTGCCCATATTATTTTTGGTATTAATTAAGACACATCTAAAAAAAGCAAAATTGTCTCGCGGTTGTACTAATCTAGTAATAATAATCACATGAAAATGAAATGCTTGTAGAACATAAACAAATCGCTTGCCATATTTGTAATGATAAACAAATTTCGCATTTTTTATTTATTATCACTAATACATAATAATGTAGGCCTATCTCCATATAAAAAAAAAATATAAATATGAAATCAAATCCACTATGGAGCCAAAGAATGATAACACAATCAGAAGCATTCTAAAGAAAATCCAAGGAGAAAAAATTGCTTCATACGTTTTAAGACCAATAATACCAAATTTTCGAAAAATATCAAGATAAAAAATAATAACTTATGAAATTATCAAGAGAAAAAAATCGCTAAATATAAAATTCTAATTAAAAAAATTTAATTAACATAAATTTAATTAAATTTTATAAAATAATTATTATAAACAGCATAAAAATAAATAATAAATAATTGTTTTTCAAAATAGCCAACAAATTAAATGAAAATACTGCAAACGTCCAATAAAAATTTCTTGACAATAAACTGATGACGAATTTCTTCCAGTGAGTAAAATTTTAATAAAATTTCATTTATAATATTTTGAGAATATGCACGTTTTTTGTACATTAGCGTTTTAGTTTTTTATAAACATATTTATATATTTTTTTTGTACTTTTACACCAAAATTATAATAAATATTTTAAATACTATCGTTAATATATAATAATACCAATATTATTGTATTACAATTAAATTTAAACTAAAATTACATAACGAGATAAATAATCGTAAGCTATTGCTCTCGCTGGTTTCTTGTCTCTAAACTTCAAGGACAGATCATTGATTAATAGCAAAGCAATTACCGTACGGGTCCCTCGAGCTCGTTTCCACTACCGCGTGTACCATTGGATCCGATCACCCCGCGAACCCACCAGGGAAAAGAAAAAGGGGGAAGAAAGAAAAAAAAGAAAGTAGAGTTAGTATATCGCGTAAAACAATGCAAACTTACCTTTATAATTGCCAAAACCTTCTACCCGTCACCTAAAGCTGTGTGCAGTAAAAAAGAGAAGAAAGGAGATGTCCGAGTGTGATCCGGGCATCCCCCGTGACTCACTTCCTCAGGACCCATGCCGGGATTACATCACCGCCGGTGTCACACGGAAAGTGGCGAGACCCGTAACTACTCGCTATTTGTTCTTGATCCGCATCCTGTCCGCTGGTGGAGACAAAAGACTAACCTAGTTAAGCGAGTTTGTGGTGCAATAGCTTTGATCGATAAAGCTGTAAAAAAAGAGAAAAAAAATATTTGCAGATAAGTAAATAACGGTATGATAACCTGTTTGTTGAAAAAATGAATAGTTAACGATGTACGTACAATAACAACCTTTCCAAACTCCTTCGTATGTGTGCATATGGGAGTGGTGGTAGAAGCTGGTCGCGTTGCATATTTAAATGACTTTGTTGGGCGGAATAACTTGTTTGTGTTGCGTCGTATGTGCGGTCAAATGTTTACAAGCTAAACTCGCGTCGATTATGTATCGTTATTGAGTATTAAGAGTTCCGCCGCCATTAATGACTTGCTTGTGTCATATTCGTAATAAAGAGTTGTAATTTAACGCTCTTATTTGTATGGTCGTTAAGGGTTTCATCGTCGTCAATGGCTTGTCGTTATCGAGTTGTGATTCCACTTCTCCCATCTGTTAAACGGTCGCTACTGAATGTTAAGAA